CTCGACTCCTCTCTAACACCCCGTTCTGCAAATCCCTTGGGCTCTACCTGCAAAATATAACCAAACACCAGAGGCTTCCACTGTTCCCACACTGCTCTCAGCCACCACCTTCTGTCACCTGGATCTCTCCAGTAGTCTCCCAATAGGCTCCCTGCTTCCTTCCTTGCCCACACAATCTGTTCTCAACACAGTAGCCAGAGGAAGCCTGTTGAAATCTAAGTGGGACCACATCCCGCAGCTGCTGAAACCCTCCTGTTCCCTGTGGGGGCCCACACGGTCTGCTCTGTGCTCCCCTAAGGTCTCCTCTGCGCTCCTCTGTGGCCTCTTCTGCAGCCACACTGCTGTTCCTAGAGCATACCAAGTTCACTTCTGCCTCAGGACCTTTGCACCTCCTGCTCCTGCACTGATCGGCTTCCCCTAGATTCCACATGACTAAATCCCTTGCTTACACCTTCTTGGAATTCTTCCTGAGATGTCACGTTCCCAGGGAGACCTTCCCGACCACCCTGTTTCAAATTGCAACATCCTACCCTCCCCACCCCCATCCTTTTCTGCTGCTTTCTTTTGCACCTGTCACCATCTAACTTCTTGTGCAGGTTATGTATTTATTGTCTTGTCTATGCTGCTCCCCACCATTCAAATAGAAGTGCCATGAGGGCAGAAATTATGTCTGATTCTTTCATATGTGGATTCTCAGGGTCTACAACAGTGCCTGGCATTGATTCTGTTAATAGATACTTGCCAACTGAAGGACTGGCGCCAAAGCTCGGAGACATTATTTACCCTAAGTGCCACCCTCCAGCCCTGCAGAGAGTGGCACCAGAACATGAATTTGGCTTTTAATTTGGGGTGGGGGTGGAGGAGACTTGGAGGAGACCTGGAACGGGAAACAGCTCTTACAGCCTAGGCCCCAGGGAAGGCCAGGGTGGGGAGGGCTCCCGTTAGGAGAAGCAGGGAGCAACGTGGTCACGGAGTTTGGGCCCTTACTAACAAGCAGGAAATTGCTGTATGGTTTTGAGCAAGTCGGGTCTCATCTGGGAGCCTCAGTGTCCTCCCCGGGGCAGCAAGGGGATGGAACGGTGGGTCTGTAAGTGCTTCTCCTGCTGCGGTTCCTCGCGTTCAGCCCTTTCTCACTGGAGTTCAGCCCTTTCTCACTGGGCACATGGTGGCCTCTGGGCAAGTGTCAGCTCCCTCTGGGCCTGGCTCCTCCCTCTCCTGGGCCACCCGCTGCTCTGGCACCAGCAGGAAGTTCTGGGCTGGTTGGTGTGTGCCCGGGAGGAAATGACAGGAGGTAAGCTGGGAACTCCAGGCTTACCTGGCAGGCGGGCAGGAGGGAAGGGCTGGTTGCGGGGTCTGCTTGTGGGGAGGGGGGGTGGTCTGTGCCCGTGGTTCCCGAGGGGCCTCTTCTCCTCCAACACCTCCCCGGCCAGCCCGGCCAGGCCAGCATCCCTGGATGCCCAGCTCCCTCTTCCCCTGGCACCAGTTGCACGAGGACAGCCCCAGATGGCTCCCTGGCCTGGGGACAAAGGCCACACTGTGCCCGGCCTGGGGCTGGCCTCAGGCTGGGTCACACTGAGCCCTTCTGTCCCCAGATGGGGGTGAGGGGCAGACAGCAACAAGGTGACAGGCCTTTTTCCTGTCTCCCTTCCCCCTTGACCCCCCAAAATTGAAGAGCTGATTCTCTCCAGGGAAAAGTGACAGAGGCATCTTATGTCTTGAGCCAGGGGACAACAGAGAGCATTCACGACTCGGTCTGCCTTGTCACACCCAAGACCCTGCTGGGTTCAATGCCCTGATTGTCCCCAGCAGAGCGAGGCGTCCACTCTCTGCTGTGGTCACCACCCCTGCCGCCTGCCTTGCTGTCGCCATCAGTAAGTCCATCTTTACATCTGACCTCCATCCCTGTCCTGCTCCAGGGAATACTGCTTCCTCTGGGTCTCTCTCGAGTGGGTGGAAGATAGCCGGTCTCCATCGCTCTGTATCGCCTGGTCCTGCGTTCCTGCTTGAGATGCCATCTCAGCTTCGCCCTCCTTCTAGCTCCCCAGCCCACCCTCCATCGCACCCCAGGCCCCAGCTGGTGGCCCCTTGCTCCTAAGGGAGCTGAGGGGATGGCAGGAGCAGGTGCCACTCAGGGCTGGCTCTCTTTTGTTTTGCAGAAATCGAAGGTCTCCCTCCTAGAAGGTTTCTGATGAGCCCCCCTCCCCCACAGGCAAGAGCAAGGGTATAAGATTTATGGCAGCTACTGGTGGATTCCTGAACACAAACCCAACATGCTATCCCATAAATCCCAGACGGCAGGACGGCTTTATGGGGGAGCCCTGTTTTTAGAAGGGGGCGTGCCTACTCCCTCTTGGCGGAGCTCAGACCTAAAGGAGCCAAGTGCCTGGCTCCTCCCATCGCCCTAGGCTAACCATGACCGAGCTGGAACATCAGTCTGCAGGGCAGATGTTTCTTCCCCTTCTGGGTTGTGGGGTGTTGGGAAAGGGGGGGGGCCTCTGCTGCTCCACTCAGCCTGACGTCTGCCCTCCTTCTCCCCAGCTCAGAGGATACCGTGTCTCAGCACAGTAGGGCAATCTGGAATCCTGGGTGAATTACCATCCCTTACCCAGACCTCAGATGCTTCTCACCAAGGCTCCAGATCACTAAGAATGCTTTTTTTTTTTTTAAGATTTTATTTATCTATTTGTCAGAGAGCGTGGGGGGCTCAAATAGGGGAGAGTGGCAGGCGGAGGGAGGAATGGGCTCCTTGCTTAGCAGGAAGCCTGACGGGGGACTCAATCCCAACACCCTGGGATCATGACCTGAGCTGAAGACAGATGTTTAACTGACTGAGCCCCCCAGGCGCCCCTGGGGATGCTTTTTTAAAGAAATTCATTTTCACAGTCACCGTCTTCAGTTCCAGACTCTGACAGGGAGACCCAGGAATCTGAATTTTTAAAAATCCTCCCTGGTGCTACTGAGGTTCAACAACTCTGTAGACAACTGACCTGTCCAGTGGGGACATCTCCACTCTCCTGTCCTGCTGGGAAATGTCCGGCGACGGGTAGGGCACATCTAGGTCCCCCTGTCCCTGGAACCCATGTGCGGCCGCTGTCACGAAGCTTCTGTTAGGGGACATGCTCTGGCCCCTGGCCGCCTGCACACGGCAGGATAAGGTGGGGTGAGTGCCCGCTGGGAGCTTCACGTCTGTCCGTGTGTCCTGCAGACGGCGGGCCTGTGAGTGCAGGGGGCCAGGAAGGAGCACCAGAGGCTGGTGGGCAGGAATGAGCTTAGGGACAGGGACTCAGGAAAGTCCGAGGTGTTGGGCTTTGCCAAGGAAGCTGGAAGAAGAGCTTCGGATGCCTTCTTAGAGGGGGCATCAGGAGCCCCTGAGTTCCTGGAGAACAGGGACCACACTCACTCCCCATGTGATTACATGTGACCCAGCATGTAGTAGCTACTCGGTCCTCACCTGTCTGAACTGAACCTAGGGCGACTCCGGGGCCCAGGGACAGAGATGGCTCTGCTGTGCCAACCTGAGGGAGGAGGGCCTGGCTGCCACCCCCCTTCATCTCTGCGCTCAGAGCTGCTGCAGGTAGCTACCCCGGGAGTGTGGGGGCAGCCAGGAGCCTGCTGGCCCAGGGAAGAGCCCTCTCCGGGCTGGCTGAGGACAGAGGATGACTGTGAAGCAAAGCGAACATGTCCCAGACCCAGAAGCCCTTAAACCAGGAGGACTCAGAAGGGGTCTTTGGCCTCAGATTACCAGCTTTGGCCTCAGATTACCAGCTAGTGATTGGGAAAGGGCTGTGCCTGGCTGTTCAGGTAAAAGCTGGGAGGGGGTGCGGGGTGGCCCCTCTCCCATCACAGGACTGGCCGTGGATGCCTTCTTGGCCCGTGTCGGTGGGGCGCTTGGGACGCCTCTTGGTCCTCTGTTCACCAGGGAGGTGTGGGCCGAGCAGGACCAGGGACAGCTGCACCGAGAACTTAGGACATCATGGAGGGGAGTGGCGGGGTGGGGGGTGGTGGTGACTGGAGAGGCAGGTGGGTTTTCAGGGCAAGATATGGAAGGAGGGGTGTGCAGGAAGAGGCAGTCTAACTGAGTGGACAGCAGGGTACCCCCTCACTCACAGAGCACGAGGGCTGGGGAGCCCTGGGAGGGAACACTTTCTGGCTCGGGAAGGGGCCTTGAGGGGAACAGAGCAGCCCACCCTTCCCTGCGCTATGTTCTCTGCAGCGTGGACACTCTGCCCCTTCAGGGCTCTGGCATGAGAGGGCTTCAGCCTCCTGTCCCTGGGGCCCTCTTTCTCCTGCAAGCTTCTGTGTTTCCCCTGATACCTTCAGCTGCTCCTGACCTCCCACATTTCAGCTGGAGAGACGGCATTGGGCCAGCTCAGAGGCACACGTCCCCTCCCTTGTCCCTTCTCCTTTCCTGCCTCCCAGAGGCCTAGGACAAGCCAGAGAGGGACCTCCAGGTGTCAGTGTGAGGATGAAGTGGGGTTTGGACCAGACTCTGTCATGAGGCCGCGGGCTGAGCTGGGTTCAGCCGCTGGGCGTCAGTAAGACTTACTGGCTGTTGACATACTCAGGCTCTTACACACAAGTTGGTGAAGAGCTATTGGCCCGAGTTCCGGTCCCCTCCCTGCCACTCCAGGCCTCTTTGGAGAATTCTCTAGACCTCCAGCAGCTCAAAGGTCTGGCCCTGGTGAGGCCCCCAGGATCTTGCTGGCACGTCATACTGCTATTAGGCCACAGTTTGCTACACTGATTAGTCCATAGTGTGACTACCTCCCCGGGCGCGGGGGGGGGGGGGGGGGGGGGGGGGGGAGGGGTAGTGGTGGGGGAGCGGGATTCTCAGGGAGGGAGAGGGCTACGTCCTGAAATCTCGGTGAAGAAGGCCTTCGGAGGTGCAGGCCTCAGAGCTCGATGGGCCAGCGGAGACCCAGACCCAGAATTCGCATCTGCTGTCAGCCCAGCCTCATGCCTTGTTCTCACCCACTCTGCCCCCCCCACCGTCTCAGACCCCACCGCCCCGGCCCCCGCTGACCATGAACAAGATGAAGAACTTCAAGCGTCGTCTCTCCCTGTCTGTGCCACGCACCGAGACCATCGAGGAGTCCTTGGCTGAGTTCACAGAGCAGTTCAACCAGCTCCACAACCGGCGCAATGAGGGTGAGGGGTCCGGCCGCCCCCCTGCCCCGCCGAGGCCCTCCCTGACCCGGCCCTCATGGCTGGGGGAGGACAGAGGTGGGAGGCAGTCTCCCTTCCCCCCACCCCCACCCCCGGGGCGGAGGGGCAGGGTGGGCAGCTGACGCCTTCCCCTCTCAGACCTGCAGCTTGGGCCTCTTGGCAGAGACCCCCAGCCAGAGTCCAGCACCTTCTCCCCGACGGACAGTGGGGAGGACCCTGGGCAGCTGTCCCCCGGCATGCAGTACCGGCGGCAAAACCAGCGCCGCTTCTCCATGGAGGTGAGGGTCGATGGGCTCTCCCCTGGGAACCGGCAACAGTATATACCCAAGGAGGGTGACCACCTGGGACCCTGACTTCATGGATTCACATCCCAGCTCTGCTGTCGGTCATCTCTGTGACCTTGAGCAAGTGTCTCAACCTCTGCATACCAGTCTCCTTGTGTTAAAATGGTCATCGGGAAGATTAAGCAAGTTAATATATACCAAGTGCCTAGAACAGTCCTGGTACATAGGAAGCTAGACAACTTGACTACTGTTTTATGACTCGTAGGCATGGACCCACGTATGAGAAAAATAGGCTTCTTATCCGTTGGAATCTCATTCTCTGGATGGTTATACTGCAGCCCAGAGAGGGGAAGGGAACCTCCTGAGGTCCCACAGCAACTCCTGCGTGTTCACATATGTCTCTGAGCGCATCTTTGAAGCAGCTTTGAGCCTGGGGTCACAGCCTGTGGTTTGGCCCTGCTGGGGTTGCTCTACAGGGAAAGCCAGGCCCTGGGTGATGAGTGAGGGTCCCACAGCACGAGGTAACCTGGAGCAAGCACAGGTGTCCCCCTCTCATCCCGGCCACTGCAGGACATCAGTAAGAGGCTGTCTCTGCCCATGGACATCCGCCTACCCCAGGAATTCCTGCAGAAGCTACAGCTGGAGAGTCCGGACCTGCCCAAGCCGCTCAGCCGCATGTCCCGCCGAGCATCCTTGGTGAGTCCTAAGAGGGTCAGGGGTCACCAGGGGAGACCCAGCTTGGACACATCAGATGGGGTTTGCCTGGCCCCGCGGAGTCCTGCAGCAGTTTGTGGGCCTCTGGCGCCACCTGCTGGCTTCAGCGGATTCGCAAGCTTGTAGTCCTTGGTCAGCGACGTGCCTTCCCCTAGGTGAGTCCCACCAGGGCTGGAGCAGAGCCCCTAGCCTTCTCTGGGCCCCCACGGTTTCCACTGCGGTGAGACCCCTAGACCAGCTGGCATGTGCTTTCCGGTCACGGCTGCTTATCATATTTCCTTGGGAGCCCCTTGCAAAACGTGGACTCTGGCCCCCCACTCCAGATACCTACAGAGTCAGACTCCGGGTGGTGGGGCCCAGGAAACTCCGTTGCTAAGGGTCGGGTACCACTGAGCTAGAGGAAGTATGCTGATGAGAGAGACTGCTGGGGAGGCGGGTTCTGAACTGGACACTTGAGGTACAGTGGGGAACAAGGCAGTTTCTTCCCACGAGGCTCTAGTGGTCTGAGCATGGTGGAGAGGATAGGTTTTGAAGGTGTGTGGCAATCCCAGGTGCCTGGGCCCTGACTCCGCCCCCTCCACTGCCAGGGGAGGAAGAAACTCATACTTCCAAGGGTTCCTTCCTTTATCATGGGGACAGAGGGGAGAGACCAAGAGGCAGGACTTGTGGCTGCATTCATCCGTGCTAGGCTCTGTTGTTCCCTCTCCCTGATGGGGGTCTCATTCCCTTCCCTCCTGGAGGCTGGCTGGGGGGGGTGTCATGCACGTCGGGCTGCGTGGCCTTCACACTCACAGGACCCTGTGTCTTTCCCTCTCAGTCAGATATCGGCTTTGGAAAACTGGAAACGTATGTGAAACTGGACAAACTGGGGGAGGTAAGAGGCTGGGCAGGGCGGTGAGGAGCAGGGACAGGCTCTCCCGTGCCGCCCTGTCCTGCCTTATTGCTCCTGCCCCGTGGAGACATACCATCTTGGCCATCCAATCTGGCCCAGCCTTTTGCAGGCATTGAGGGGGGCCCGGGTCCTGGAGGAAGGCATGAGGATGGCGTGGGGCCCGTGGGCTCTGGGCATAATCCAGTTTGTCTGTTTTTCCTGCAACTATTTCTCTGGGTTTGAATCCTGTCTCTGCCATTTACTAACTCTGTGGCCTTGGGCCAGTTATGTGACCTCTCTGTGCCTTTTTTTTTTTTTTTTTTCCCTCTGTCAAATGGAGATGCAACGGCTGTGTGTCCTAGGGCTGTCTCGAGGTCGGGCTCGGTTACTATAATAAGCTTGCATGCACGCTTACACCGTGCCTGGTGCAGGGGCCACCCTGTGGGCCGTTAGCTGTCTCTGTTACCACTGCGCTCCGCTTTGTGGCAGGGCCTTGGGGCGGCCAGAGGTTTACAAACAGGAGGAAGACACAGCCGTCTCCCTCCAGGAACCCAGAGAGGAGACCTACCTGTAAACATCAACATAAGGAAGAATAAAACTGGCGTTCTAACAGAAGGGCGCCTCACCTGCTGGGGGCTCAGGGGAAGGACGGTTCATTTGGAACAGGGAGGAGGAAGGGACAGAGTCAGAGAGAGATGGACCTTGGAGCAAACATGGAATTTCAGTGAAAGGAGAAGAAGGGGGGAAGGGCACAGCCCAAGCAGACACACAAAGAGGAGGGCGCTGGACAGAGGAGTGTGCGCCCTGAGTGTGGCCGGCGCTGTGGGGGTTCTTGTCCCCAGGGAACCTACGCCACGGTCTTCAAAGGACGCAGCAAGCTGACGGAGAACCTCGTGGCCCTGAAGGAGATCCGGCTGGAGCACGAGGAGGGGGCACCTTGCACGGCCATCCGAGAGGGTACGGCACCCTAGGGTCCTGAGCTCCTGGGGGCTCCTGGGAGGAGGGCTTCATTGACGTGAGCCCCAGTGGGAGCCTCGGGGCAGAAGGTCATTGCCGGAGTGGGGTCTGCTAGGGGCTGATCCCAGGAAGAGAGGGTGTGAGGGGTGTGTGGGGTCACAGGGACCCAGGCAGGCCTGTCACCCCACAGTGTCTCTCCTGAGGAACCTAAAGCATGCCAATATTGTGACCCTGCATGACCTCATCCACACGGAGCGGTCTCTCACCCTGGTGTTTGAGTACCTGGTGAGTTGGGCTGGAGCTAGCAGCTTCTCCCCTCTGCGGTGGGGTGTGGGGGCGGGGTGGGGGGCAGCCCAGGCCTTGTTCTAAAATCAGGTTCTCAGATGCTCCCATGCAGGAGTGGGCCCAGGAGGTGTAAGGGCAGCTCAGAGCCTGGGCCCTGCCCAGGGAGGAGCTTCCGGTTAGAGGTCAAGACAGGTCAGGGCTGAGCCAGGCTCTGTGTTCCAGGACAGTGACCTGAAGCAGTATCTGGACCACTGCGGAAACCTCATGAGCATGCACAATGTCAAGGTGAGGGCCTCCGTAAGGGCCGCCTGCCCCTGGGTGCCCCATTTCGGTCCCCATCTGTTCTCAAGCCCAACACAGGCACCGTTCTTACCACCAGGGGCCCAGCTGCGAGGTTGCTCAGACCTTCCAAGGTATGAGGGCGTGCAAAGTCACTGCCATTCAGGGAATCCCAGGAACTGTGCTAAGCACCCCCCCACCCCAGTGCAGACACGCACCCTCTGCCACCATCTAGCCGATGATACAAAATTCCCTCTCCAACTCTGAGCATGTTTTACATCTGTAAAATGGGTATATGGATGAAAGGAGGCTTGTGGAGAAGCTTGAAGGGAGGAAAGACCCCTTCTGGCCATCGTGAGAGAACCAAGTGCATGGCTCCCCACTCCGGTGGGCTTCCTGGCCCTGCGTGGTGCCCCCTCAGCTCCTGGCCAGACAATGCTCTGGCCTCCAGCACCCTGCTGACTCCTCCACACACCTGGGGCCCTCCTCTGTGGATGGGACTCCCTGGGATGCATGGAGCCCAGGAGGGGGCACAGCGCGGGTGGTGAACCAGCGTAGCTCCCCGGGGACCTTACCGCACACCCCACCCCCTCCCCAGCCATGGGGCAGAAACATAGATTCTCCCAGGTGGGACACACCTGCCTTCCACTGCTCACCTTTCTCATCCCCTCCTCCCTCAGATTTTCATGTTCCAGCTGCTCCGGGGCCTTGCCTACTGCCACCGCCGCAAAATCCTGCACAGAGACCTGAAACCGCAGAACCTGCTCATTAGCGAGAGGGGAGAGCTGAAGCTGGCTGACTTCGGTGAGGGCGGGGCCCGCCGGGGCCAGGGGGCGGGTCCGGGCCAGGGGGCGGGTCCCGAACGGTCTTCGCTGGAAGGGGGGTGCGGGTGGGGGGCAGGGAGCTGGGAGGCTCAGTGACGGGTCCATCCCCAGGACTGGCGCGGGCCAAGTCAGTGCCCACGAAGACCTACTCCAATGAGGTGGTGACCCTGTGGTACAGGCCCCCTGATGTGCTGCTGGGGTCTACCGAGTACTCCACCCCCATTGATATGTGGTGAGTGGGCGCTGTGGGACCAGGGCCAGGGGGGTTCCCACACCTCCACATTCCCTTTTGCTGCTTCAAGGCCCTCTGCCAAGAACTGCCTAACCTCCTTTGACTAGAAGCCATGTGACCTCCTCCTGAAGTAACCGGATGGGAAAGAATTAAGTCTGGACTCCGTTAGCGTTCCCGGGGCTCTAAGTAGACCCTCCCCGGCTCTGCTTCTGAAATACTGCCGCAGGGATCCCTGGGAGGTTCCCAGAGGGTGCGGGAGGGCCGCCACCGTAAATACGACGAATCTTCCCCAAGCATCAGTTCTACTGAAAATTTTGGAAAGGATCTATTATTTGTGTGTGTGTGTGTTAAAATTAACATGCATATGATTTGGTGTAGAATGAAAAAAAAAAAGCCCAATTTTAAAGCTGAAACCCAGGTTTCTGATTAATGCCACTGTGTTCTGTGCCCCGGGGTCCCCAAGAGAGTGGATTTGCGGACTCGCCTCTTCCGTGGGACAGAGTCTGAGATAGCGCTGCTTGAGAAACTGCTACGTGGGTGCAGACCCAAACTCTATGGGGTGAGGGGAGAGGTTAAAGCGCCCTAGAGCCCAGAGGAGCCCCAAAAAGAGGCCCCAGTGGCGGATGCAGCTGTGCTAGCCTCCGCTGTCTTGGGCCGCCCACCCCAGAGCCAGGACCCTTGGAGCCACGATGGCAGGATGGCAGGGCGTCCTTGGTGCCCTGGTGGAACAGCCCTAGGAAGGGCGGGTGCGAAGAGGCCCAGCCTGACGCCGCCCCTGCCCATTGCTCCCCGCAGGGGCGTGGGCTGCATCCACTACGAGATGGCCACGGGGAGGCCCCTCTTCCCCGGCTCCACGGTCAAGGAGGAGCTGCACCTCATCTTCCGACTCCTCGGTCAGTCTCCGGCCGCTCCTACCCTCTCGCCACCAGGGGGCGCCAGAACTCTGTCCAGCCCAGGCTCACACAGGGACTGGGAAGAGGGGCTCCCACTCGCTCTCCACGGGGCAGCGACCCCTGTGGCCTTCGCCATTGTCTGCCCCCACCTCCTTCATTGCACCCTTCCCAGTCGCCCGTGGCCCTGGCCCCTCACTGTGCGCTTCCCATGCCTTCTCATCTCCCCAGGGACCCCTACGGAAGAGACGTGGCCCGGCGTGATGGCCCTGTCCGAGTTCAGAGCCTACAACTTCCCGCGGTACCTCCCGCAGCCACTCATCAGCCATGCTCCCAGGTAGCCCTGCTGCCCCACACCTCTCCTGGTCTTGGCCCGGGCTGTCCCTCCTGGAGGTGGCCATGGGGACCCCCAGCCCCCCAGTCCCCCAACCAGGCCAGGCCTGTGCCAGTTCCTTCCTCCTGCAGGTTGGACACTGATGGCATCCACCTTCTGACCAGCCTCCTCCTGGTGAGTGTACCCCCGGCGGGGCCCAGGGACAGGCAGCCTGAAGGCCAGAGACCCCACCTGGGCCCTCCACCCGCCTCTGAGCTCACAGCACACACCCTCCCCCATATTCCACCCCATCCCCTTACCCCCAGCCCCTGCCCCCCAGCACTGGTTCCCACACAGAGGTGGGAGTGGGTGCACTCTGAACTCAAACGCAGTTCATACCCTCTTACTATGTAGCCTTGGGCAAGTCCTAGAACTTTCCTGAGCTTCCATTTCCTCCACTGCAAAGAGGAATTGATAATTCATATTTCCTAAGCTGGTCACAAGGACACACTGAGATAATGGAACACACTTAGTGTGGGACCTGCCTTGAAGGAAGTGCACAGTAAAGGGGAGTTGTTGGTATTACATGTTAGTATTGCTATTATTAATGTTATGATCGCAGAGGCTTTAGCCTCTGGACTTCCATCCCAAAAGGAGGTCACTCAGGAAGTCCCATTTCTGGTTTTCTCTCGGTGGCTGGAGATCTGGGAGCTGAGCCCGGAGACTGCCTCAGGCTGGCTTGGAGGGGGAGGCTGGCAGCAGACCCTGCGGGCTCCTGGGTTAGACTCGGGACCCCCTCATGCTGGCCATCTAACTCAGTGTAGGAGTTGCTGCACCGAGGGGTCCCCAGAGTCCCCCAGCCAGGGCCCCATAGCCCACCCTGTACCTTTCAGTACGAATCCAAGAGTCGCCTAGCAGCAGAGGCAGCCCTGAACCACCCCTACTTCCGGTCTCTGGGAGAGCGTGTGCACCAGCTTGAAGACAGTGAGTGTGGGGAGGTTGGGGGAGGGACCAGGGTCACCCCAGAGCCAAAGAAATGGGGCGGCAGGTGTGGGTGGAAGAGCTGGAGCAAAGAGGCCGGAGGCTCCCAGCGCAGCAAGCTGCTTGGGCACAGGACTTCCCCTCCTTGGGTTCCCGACTGTAACTAAGGGCAAAACTGTGGGATCTAAGAAGCCGCCTGAAAGGCCCAGTTAGGTGTTCCTGGGGCAGTCCTGAATGAAGGGGTTCCCCAGCCAGAGGGCCCTCTGTGAGTGTGGGGGCTCCCCGCAGGGGCTCAGCCCTCTCCCTACCTTTCTCCTCTCTCCCCACAGCGGCATCCATCTTCTCCCTGAAGGAGATCCAGCTCCAGAAGGACCCGGGCTATCGGGGCCTGGCCTTCCAGCAGCCAGGTAGGGGCTCGCGCCTCCCCTGCCCCTGCCCCGCCCCCTTATTAGAAGAGACCAGGACAGGCTGCTCCTCCCTCTTGAAGAACAGAGTGGGCAGTTAGCATGGCCTCCCCGCAACATTGGCCTCCCTTTGGGGGGCCCAGGGAGAGCAGGGAAGGGACTGGTTTCCCTATCTTCTGCCCAGGCTTCCTCCCACAGCGTGTCCCTTGTCAGCCCCAACCCGGCATCTGACAGAGCCCTGAGGAAGGTGCATGATCTCTGGGCTACATTCTGTCTGCAAACCCACCTCCGTTCTGGGTTCTCTCTATTCTGGAATTCTCCACAATTCCATTCTAGAATTCTCCACCTCCATTCTGGGAGAACCATACCTTGTCTCTAGAACAGCTGATGGCCTCAGATGTGACAAGTACATTATTTCGTATCATCCTAAAATACCCTTTGAAGTAGGTATTTTGTGTGTGTGTGATTTTAAGTAATCTTTACACCCGATGTGGGGCTCCAGTTCATGACCCCAAGATCACACATCACGGGCTCTACTGACAGATCCAGCCAGGAGCCCTGAAATAGATACTATTCATGGTCCCTGTTTCATCATCAATGAATGTGAGACACAGGGAGGTGAGGACAGTTTCACACAGCTGGTCCGTAACAGGGATGGGATTTGAACCCAGAACCGACTGGCTTCCAGGAGCATGCTTTTGCTAGCCCTGTCAGAGCAGCCCCCAAGGTTGCCCTTCTGCCTGGTCCCCGGGGCACCCTGCTGCCCAGCCCCCTCTCTGCAGCCACACCCCCACCCCCCACTCTGTTCTCCAGGCCGAGGGAAGAGCCGGCGGCAGAGCATCTTCTGAGCCGGGCCCACCCTGCTGCGGCCCCAGGACGAGAGACGAGAGTTCTCCGAGAGCACGACGACGGACAGGAGGGGGCCTGCATGGCCCTGGGAGGACTGAGGAACAAGGGCTAATGGCCGGCCCAGAAGACTTCTTGGCAGCCCTGCTGGCCACGGCTGTTTCCTCTTCCTGCTTCCCACATGCCTCCCCTGTGGCCTTCTCCTCGACACCCACCCCTCTGTCTCTGGCCCCGGAGCTGGGCCTGAGCTGCTTTCCTGGGAGGAGATGAGGGGCAGGGAGGGACCACCGACCCTTTCCCACCCCGAGGTGCTTGGGCACCAGTGTGGGACCCACATGGACGGGAGAATCCGGGTGCCCGGCTGAGCAGGGTGCACTGAATGTGGGTTCTACCATAGCTCCCGCCAGGGGCTGCCTGGCACACGTCACTGTCTTTCTTCCCCTCTGAGAGCAGGAAGCGCAGGGCACTTGTCTGGGACTCTGGAATCCTGGGTGCTGTTGTGGGCGCCAAAACCCAGCCTCTACCTGGAGGGCAGGTGTCTCCAGAGCAGCCCAGCCCTTCTCTACATCCTCAGCCTGTCCCCATTCCCTCTCCCGGCCAGAGGCCCCATATGCTACTGGCTGCCCGGCTGAGTCCAGAGGTGGCCTGGTCTCACCAGCTGGCCCCTGCCCGCCCCCCCAGCCTGAATGGGATTGCCTTAAATCGGCAGGGGGTAGAGCATCACTGCCCTTGGAGCTCTGACCCAAACTCCTACTTGTCCGCCCTTCCCCAAGAGTGGCTCCTGCTTAACATGCCTGGGCCTTGAAAACCCAGCCCGGGGCAGGGTCCAGGGGACGACACCCCGATAGGCAGGTCACCCTGATTCTGGTACCAGACCAGCCTCAGCTCCTTGGGGCTCACCCAGCCTCTTCCCTCCTTCCCAGCCCCCAACGCCCGGTCCATGCCCTTCACCATCCCGGCACCAGCCTCCCCATGACCCCGGCCTCCCCAGAGGGCAGGGTGTAAATGCCACAGTCTGACATGGAGGAAGGTGGGACAGGAGGCACAGGCTTTGAGCCCGAGAGCCCCACCCTGGGGAGCTGGGAGCATGAGGGGCCGCAGCCCCAAAGAAGGCCCCTCACCACCCCTTCCGAGCACGCCTGTTGTATTCCCAAGGTCTCCTCAACACTTGCCTGCATCTCTAATGGCAAGGCCAAGGGGAGGCCGGGCGCGGCTGTTCTCCACAAGCCTCCTGCCCAGCCCAACCCCTAAGCCTGAGGAGCAACCCTGGAGGGTCTTGGCCTCCGCATGAGTCCTTCCCCTCCTCCCCCCACTGTACTGTGAATGTCCCGTGACTCAGCACAAAGACAGATAATATATTTAATTCATGTTGTACAGAAAAGCTGATTTTGACAGATTGATGCCAAAGATGGAGGACGGAAGACCCTTCTCCAGGCCCCATGAGTGTGGGTGGGGCTTGCTTGTATGTGTATATGTATAAAGTGGACAGAGAGTTTGGTTTGTGTATATCTGTGAACCCACCCTGGGCATGGGAGGGGAGCCCGCACCCTTCCTGCTGTATGCCGGAAGCTGCTGCCTCCAGGACCGGAAGTTCACTCTGGGTGTTGTGGGGAGGCATGGAGGAGGCCTTCACCCAGGGACCAGGGACAGGGCCTGAGGGGTGGGGCCAGCCAGGAGAGCAAGAGGGAGTCCCCGGGGAGGGGTCTGGGGGGGCAGGCTGCTATACCTGCCCTCTTGCTACCCCAACCAAACCGCTCCCTGACTTCTTGGGAGGGAAGAAGGGGAGGTTTAGGAGAGGGCCGACATGGGGGTGGCTAAGGCCAGGGCCCAGAATGAGGTTGCACATGTCCCTAATCCAATCCAGCAATTTCTACAAACTTGGACTCCACCTTCTGTTGCCCAGACTGTCTCTTACCTTGGGGGCACACGACCTCCTTGCTCTCTCCCAGAGCTCTCCATGTCTTGCTCTGCTTTCCAGTTCAGTGTCCAGGTTTGTTTTCCCAAGAGCACTGTGAGAATGCGAGGCCCCAAACGATTCTTCCTGACCCTACCTGTCCAGCAGCCTCCTGGCCGGCCATAAGGACTTTCCAATGTGAAGACTTGCATGGGTTGGCTGCTTTCAGGGAAGGAAGCTAATGCAGAGGTTGGGTGATGTCTTCCGAGGTCATGAAAGTAAGGGGCAGACCGGGGCTAGGTTTTCGGCCCAGCACGACCGCTGTCAGCCCAGACCTCCTCACCTGTTTTAGGCATCTGGTCACCAAATGGTAGGACAGTTAGTGCTTGATGGGAAATGCAGTGGTGGGAACTGGAGTCAGGCCTTTTAAGCAGAGTTTGGAAGGAGACAGGACAGACCTGAGGTCTGTGAGACTCCCTACTACGTGCCGGGCATGGTGCGGCATCATCGCATTGACCCCGCACGACAGCCCACTTCTCTCCCCACTGCGGGTGAGGAGAGTGAGTGTGAATGACCTCCCCCAGAGTCCTGTAGCAAACAAGATTCCCAGGTCTATTTGCCCTGCCAGTGCTGGTCTTGCAGGAGGGGAAGGAGCCAAAACAAGGGGGAGTGGAGAACCGGGCCCTGAGAGCCAGGGAAACCACACAGGAAGGAGCTGGGGGCACAGGCTGCTTTGCGGGGGCTCCAGGAGAGAGATCGCCACTGGGTCCCCACTGTGTTGCAGGCAGTGGCGGCCGCCAGTTCACCCAGGTGCCTGCCCCTTTAAGAGCAGGTGTGGAGGCTCACCTGGCTGGGGGGATGTTGGAGGTCTCTGTGGAGGCAGGAAGGCAGCCAGAGCAGCCCGAGAAAAGCCTGGGCCACCCAGGCCTTGTATATGGTTAGTGCTCAAAACCTTTCAGCTGAGAAATAGTTCAGGAGGAGGCTGGAGGGCCCAGTGACTCTGGTTATGAGGTGTAGGGGCAGACGGGGTTCAAGGGCTGGCCCCAAGGTTCCGGTGTCCAGACTAAACAACGCAGCCCAGGTCCTGGAGCCCGATGATCCCTGGGCACCGCCACCATCATGTCCTTAAGCCTTATGGCTCTCACAGGCAGGAACCTGCCCGTTTTGCTGGAGCCCTGGGCAAAAGCACGCCTTGGGGAGTCTTTCCTATCTCCTGCTGGGCCCCCTGGTGCCATCTGTTCCTGAGGTTGGTCAGGGATGCCTGTGGTCCTGACTGGCCTTTCCCTTCACCACACCCACTTGGTCTTGGCCGGGGACATTGGTTTGCAATAGCGCCACAGCTGCCTGACAAAAGATGCTCATGGATATCGGCTGCAGGGGTCAGGGTGGGGTCTGGGGCTGACTCTCCCCTGCCCCATCCTTCCCTTTCTGTGAGCTCCCTGTTGTCCTGCCCCTACTGCATGGTCCAGTGGTCAGGGCTGTTGTCCCACAGGCCACCACTGCCCTCACCTACTGAATGCCCAGGCCAGCTAAGTGGTCTACACTTAGGCCAGATCTCCTCCTCCTTTTCTTCCCGGAAGCAGCTCAGTGCCTTGCAGCCCACCTTCCCACCTCCATCTGCTTGGACCCCTCCTTCTGGTCTTGACGCTCCACGGCATTCCACCAGCCCTTCTGTTTCCAGAGCAAACCACCAGCACCATGAATTGGCCCCAGACTGACTGGTCCTATGCCAGACACCAGGACGCCCAGATGCATGAGTCCGCCTTCCCCTTCCAGGAGCTCAGGCTTGGGGCGCAGGAGGACTTTCTTTACACAGATTTTGGTCAAACAGCCATTGGGTGCCAGGCACTGTGTTGGGCCCTGAGGCGGGGACACTGAATAAACTAGCACGTCCCTGGTGTCCTAGAGTTTAGAGAGATGTCACCTGAATAAACATACGGCCCATCAAGGGGTCAGAGGTGTGACAAAGCCAAATGAAGCAGGGTCGGGAGAGAGGTGGTGGCCCAGGTTGGGGGCTCTCTGATAAGATCAGGGGGAGCAGTGAGTAGTGGCAGGGAGCCATGTGGACCCCCAAGGACAGAACCTTCCAGCAAAGGCCCTGAAGGGCGTGCATGCGTGCGTGCATGTGTGTGTGCACATGCAAGTGTGTGCACAAGGAGGAGGCAGGCGGGGCACCAAGGCTGGGCAGGCTGGTGAGGTTAGGAAGGACCGATGCCCGGGTCTGGCTCGGATCCATTCACCCAGATCCACTGGTGTGAGGCCAAGCATCAGCAGCCAGAAAAATCTCCCCAGATGACCCTAACGTGGAGCCAGGCTTGTGAGCCACTCATGTGGGGTCTTGAGCCATGAAGGGGGGAAGCTCTGGGTTTCGCTGTGGATGGGAAGTCATAGATCTCTGTTTTCCAATGCTCAGAGAGGCCCCAGGAGGAGGGCTGTGAGAGGGGGAGGGGAAGGACGTCCACACCCTGCAGGACGAAGCCCAGACCCAAGGGAGGAAGGAGGAGGAGCCTCTCTCATGCGGGCTGCTGTGAGGTGGGGGCGGCCATCACATTCCCAGGGTGAGGCAACTGGGGTTTGGGGGTGAACCTGGCCACACTGAGCTAAGCGGGCTGGTCAGAATTTGAACCCAGGTCTGCGCACCTGTGCGGCCACATGCTCTATGCTACACCACCTGCCTCTCAAGCAGATGTGGGCGGCTAGCGCGGGCGCTTCAGCTCACTTGTCTGCACAGAGATCCACTTCTGCGATCCTGGGGACTGCGGGCAGCACCCTTGTCCCCCCCCCCATCACCTACAGGCATAGGTGACCACGGGCACCAGAGAATTAGCTGATAGCCACTGTCCCCTGACCCCACCACACACCCCCTGCCCTCCCCCAGGCCCTCCTCTGGACCCTCTGGACCTCCCACCATCCACCAACCGAAGGGGCAGCGTAGGACCCCGGGGCCCGTGTCCTGCTCCAGCACTCTGGCTGCTGTCCTTTCTGATGCTGCCCTCCCAGGGGCAGAAGGACTGGCAGAGGGCAGCTTCCCTGCCCATCAACCATTTCTCCTCCCCCTCCCTCCCTCCTCTGTATCTCTCTCTCCCCTTTCTCCTCTACAATCCCCTCTTCCTGCCCCTCCCCTCCTTCCTCTTCATGGGGGGCCCTTAAACCTGGGTAGCAACCATCAGACCCAGCCTCCTCCCTAAGGGAGAAGATTTTGCAGACTCCCCAAGCCTCCGACCCTTGTGAATTCTCCGGGTGCCAAGTGTCATCCTGTCTCTTGCCCTCATGGGTTTTCTGGTGACGCCAACACAGACATGGGGGGCCACGGCCTGGCTGTGGCTGTAGGGGCAGGCAGGGGTGTGGCTCTGCCCTCCGGGCTGGCTGCAGTCAGCACTCCTCCCTGCTTGGAGCTTCCAGCTCTGTCCTCATCTTCCTGACTCCTCCCTCCCTCCTTCCCTCATTCATTATTCATCTGAGGGCTCCTGATTCCGTGCCAGACGGTTTCCAGTACCGGGGATACAAACTTGACCCTGACTTAGACCCTACTTGGGGGAGCTCAGAGTCTCAGAGTCAGTTAGGATATGGTCTTGGCTTCCTCTCATGAGATCTCAGTTACTTGGGGGAAAGGGAGTTGTCTTTTAGTCATTCTTTTAAAATTACCGAGTTCTTTTTTTCTTTTTTCTTTTTTTCCGTTAACATTTCAGAGACAACAAAACCTTTTTATGCCATCCA